GGTATATACAATATATATTTTATAAATATATTTAATATATACTTAAATAATATTAATAAATATTTTTAGGTATTTATCGACTAGAGAATGTGGGATTTTTATATATGTTTTTAATATACCAAAGGAATTACGAGAATCCAAGTAATAATATTTACACGAAAAAAAAATGGTTGCGATAAATAGCTTGCTGTTTAATTATGCAATGGGATTTTTCCTGCGGATGTAACTGCAAGTATATAGCAAAAAATAACAAAATATGGTCTTCCATAACTAGATGGTAACAAATATGGAGCAGTTAATAAAGGTATCTTTGTGTTTTACAATAACAAGAAAATTAAACTAAACTATCCTTTAGGCCTATATGAGGCATATGTAACTTGGAGATATAGCAAGTTTGTTTATACTGATATCAATTTTTTAGACTATACAATTGCAACAATTTGTTTAAAAGGTATACGATTTTTCGATGACCCAGAATTTATATGCTAAAAAGAAGATTTTGATAAAAACAATTTTTATATGGTTAAATGAAAAATAAAAATTGAAATGACAAGTATTTTTAAAGATAATGATAATTATTTAAAAAATACAATATATTAAATAAATTTAATATTTTTAAAATAGAAAATACTCTTTTTTGCTGGTCAAAACATGAATTATTATACAACTGTTTTACTACAAAAAGAGTAACATGTGGTTTATCTTAAAACTTGGTCAAAAAAATTGTAACTGTGATAAAAAAAATAAAAAGAAGACAATGAAAAAGAAGCCTATATAAAATACTAACACAAACAACTGCAGCAAGATTTACTTATATTACATACACTTGAAAATTTGATAAAAAAAAATCAGGAAAAAATAATAATTAAATTTTATTAGATAGAATAAATTATATAAGTAAATATTTTAATTTAGAGGAAAATAGTTGTAGCTGGCAATAAATTTTTATATTTTACTATATAATAAATTAATTATTATTGTTTAAATTTATTTTTATTTTCAAAAATATAGTAGCTTAAAAACCAATATATACAGTATAAATAAAAATTTAAAAAATTAAATTAAACAATTTTTAGCTATATTTATATAAATTGGTCAGTTTTAGATTAGATCAGTTTACAAAAAATTAAAACCAATTGGTTTTCAGATTGGATCAGTTTCCAAAAAATTCAAACTATCAGTTTTCAGATCAAATTGGTTTAAAAAAAATAAATCAGATTGGTTTTAGTTTTAATTAAAATTGATTCAAACCGATTCATTATGATCCCTATTCTTTATGTCTTTACAATTAATCTGTAGATTAATACTGCTTAGTACAAATTTATATCAATTTATATAAACAAGCTTATCAAATCATTTAAAAAATTTAAGTAATATAAAATATAAAGATATAAAATAGAACTACTTATACAAAATAAATAAAATTAATATATAGAATCAATTGAAAATCCCATATACAACTTTTTTCTTAAAAATATCCTTTTATAGTAATTTTTCTCTAAAATTAAAGAAACAAATATTTTTTTCACCTTTCAATACCCAAAAGTCCTTCACACTTTCTTTTTCTTCACTACAAGAGCCTCAAGGAAACCAAAAAAGTATACTGGTGCATCAGAATGGGACCTCTGATCAGAGAAAAGCAAGTTTGAGGGTCTTGCTTTTTTTTTGGATTGCATGAGGAAAGGCCTGTGGCAGTTACTTCTTTATAAATCTTTCTTGGAGTTCTTCCTATTTTCTTTTCTTACCAATACACAAATCTTTTTAAATAACTATACTTTCTGCTTAAAGAACTTCTTTTTATCTCAAAAAACTAGATTTCACATCAAAATTGTTTTTGCTATGCCACCAAAAACCAAAAATTTTCACTCAAAAAAATTCTTATCAAAAAACCATAATCAGTTTACTCCTGTCAACTGATCGACATTTCAAATCCAACTAATCAAATACTACCAAATCTCAAAGCAATTCTGTATAACCAAAATACTACACAACGATCGATATAAACAAATCCTATTTTGGCAGTATCAATCAAAACAAGATTACATCACCAAAAATAAACCAATCAATATATCAATAAAAATATTAACAATCACAATAACAGCATATGATCTAAATAACATGTCAACAATACTATTATTTACTTTGGACAGTAGCCTGGCCATTTCTGGAAGTAGTACCCTACTTTAGTTAAATAGATCAACCAGCATGGCATGCCTAATCCAAGGCATCCTTTGTATAATAATCAGTTTTTTTTTCACCTTTTTTCTAATCATTACCAAATATCTAAACACAAACAGCTATACCATCACTACTATTAACAATGACTCAAGAACGGCTATCAAGAGGATATATTATTAACACTGTTATATACTATGAGTTGTAGCCTGGCCATTTCAGAAAGTGCAACAGTACTTCGGAGGGGTGGAACCACCAGTGCGACATTAGGCTTCATTTGTATTATAATTAGTTTTTTTGTCATTTTTCTTTTGTTTAGCATTTTCTTTTTTCACTTTTATATTTTCTTAAATTTTATCTCATATAATCCTGAGTAGGTATTCATAGCTGCTCGGCACTATCTTAGATGTACATTGGTTTTAATATTTATTTTCTATGTCGCTTAGATAGTTTCTGTAGGCAAGCTAGCATTAGATTTATTAGCTTAGCAAGTTATATAAGAGATGTTGTCGCTTTCTCCATGTATAAATTTTAAACAATTCTACGATTAATAAAGTGATGATGTTTACCTACTTAAAAATAATAATAATAATAATTTATTAATTTTAATAAAAATAATAAATTTATTAAATCAAATTTTTTATTTATTTATTTTTTAAATTATAAATTTATATTAAAATAACAATTTGTAAAATAGATTAATAACAATTTTTTAAATTAAATTATAAAATATTTTATTATATTATCTTTTTAAAAAAAGAATAATTTTTTTATTTTTTATAATTATATTTAAAAAATTAAAATAGTTTAAAAAGTTTTAGATAATTAATATTATATAATAATAATTAACAATAGTTTAATAAGTCTATTTTTTTAAATAAAATAATTAATAAATAAATAGATTATATAAACAATATAATGATTTTTTTTTTGATAAATAAATATCATTTCTTTATTAATAATATTATACTGAAAAGTTATATACATGGTAAATGAAATAATATCTCTTGTGTACAAAAATATAACAAGTTAAATACTAGCTTGTTTATATATCTATATTTAGCTAATATTAAAAAAAATTTTTAAATAATATTATATATACTAAATACAATTGAATAGTGGCTATAACTACTTATTTAGAGTTTTTTAATTAGATATAAAGAAATTTAAAAGTAAAAGAAAATTGAAAAAAAAAAATAAACTGGGATTACAATAACATGGACTACTAAAACTATAACTAAGTTACTTAAACTATAAAATCTATATAAATAAAGGTAAAATTTCAAAAGGAATTTCTGGTTTGATTTGATAGTCTATTTTACTAATTCCTTGCTACTCGTTAATATTGCTTTTGTTGATATGGATAGTAAAGTATAATTGATATTGTTTATTATTGTGATAGTTGTTGTTATTATTATTGTTATTATTATTGTTATGCTGAAAAACCAGTTTGAACTAATTTGATTTTTTCTTTGTTGTTTTGATAAAATCTAATTGAATTATTAGAGAGTAACAATTATCTGAAGGGATAAATTGATTTCAGTTTTTTAAAAAAAAAATTTGAAAAATTTTGAGATGATACAATAAACAGTGTCATGGTAGAGTTATGTGTAAAAGTTGTATTAAAACAAACAATAAATCCAACAACTTTGTTTGAGTATGTTTTTTGAAAAGTATTTGATTTAGCAAGTGTAATGATATTGATATGAATAGTTTTTGTGATATAATAAAAATAAGGAGGGTGCAAAAAAACAAAAGAAAAGAGAATTATCACAGGCTTTTTTTTATGTAACCAAAGAATAAACAAGACTTCCAAACTTGAGTAGAGGTCCCATCCTACTGTACCAGTTGTTTTGAAAATTCTTGAGTTTTTGAGCTGAAGCTTACTTGCAATAAAAAGTATTAAATATTTTCTCTTGCTTAAAATTATTATAAAAGAAAAATTTTTAACAAAACAGATGTGATCAGAAGAGAGTTTTACAGAGATACAATATAATAATTTTAAATATTAAGAATTTAAGAATTATATATAAATTTATAAACTTATTGATAAGTGTTTTGCAATTAAAAAACTATTTAACAATAGTATAATAATCTTATTACTGTATTATTATATTTTGATCAAGAATTAATAAATATATATTATTGCAATCTAATTAGAAGTAAAAAAATAAAAATAAAAACAATATTAAAAAATAATTGTAACAATAAAATGTAATAACAAATAAATAAAAATTTAAAAACATTTTGATAATAATTAATAATTTTTGAAAAAATAGAGAATTAAAAAATAATAATTTTTTTTTTTACATAATAATATTAAAAAATATAAATATACTGTCAAATATTTTTTCATGAATTTTTTTAAAAATTAAAAAAACTATTAAAAAAATTTCGATATCTCCGTTCTTTGAAGTTGTCACTTAAAGAATAAGTGTAATATTGTAATATAAAATATTACAGATGACGCACAAGTGCCGTAAGGATGACGCATGAGAACCCCAAAATGGCTATCACCCGTATACTGTATGCTCATATTATGAAAATATTGATTGGTCAATTACACATTATAAACTACTTGCACAACTCTTACTCTCTCTAATTCTCTAATTAACTGGCTTATTACATAGAAACGATCAGGATGAGTTACAAAGTTGGTTTATCTAAGAAATATCCAATATTATTTATTTTCTTTATGACAATAGTGATTTTATTGTATATATATGCAGTTAAAACTTCTAATTTATTCGCTTCTGGTAAGATATTTTCAGGTTTCGCTTTATTGTAAATCAAATCATACTTAATAACATTTATACCGAAAATTTATGATACACATCTTAGTTGAGGATCCCGTAGACACTCAGAAAACTGATGATGCTAATAAGACATTTATTTCTGCTAACAAGACAACCACTGTTACTAATAAGACCTCGATCTTCCCTCAAACACATTATTATCAAGAACCATTTAAACACATACAATCAAACTCGACGATGCGACAACACAATATAACAATAGTTACTGGTGCGAGTAATAATCATTTCTGTGCGGTAAAAAGTTTACTTTATCGCATTAATAAAGAGGTAGATGGCCTGAATGTACGGATTGTGGTCTACGATCTGGGGTTTACTAAATCGCAGAAAGCTGCATTCAATCGTTTACTTAATCTAAGTTACATATCAGAATTACGAACATTTAATTTTTCGGCGTATCCATCTTTCTGGAATATTGAAGAAAACCGTGGTGAATATGCCTGGAAAGTTGGAATAATCGCGGAGGTTGCACGAGATTACTCAGGAACTAAGTTAGTTTGGTTAGATGCGGGTTCTTTTATAAAACGAAAATTCTTTTTACAATTACCATCTTTAATGAAGAAGTTTAATGGATTTGTTTCACCCAATTCTCCGGGGAGAATGGAAAATTGGACACATTCCGGTGTTTATAAATATTTCGGTGATGGTCATTCGAAATATGATCAGTTGAAAAACTGCAATGCAGCATCGGTTGCATTTGACACAAAAAAAAGAAAGGAATTAATAGATGATTGGTATATATGCGCATTAAACAAGGATTGCATAGCACCCCCGGGGAGCAGCCGAAAGAATCATCGCCAAGATCAAGCTTTACTTACCTATCTCGCGGCAAGAAAAGGACTTTACTGTAACAAATCAAGAAGAACATTTGGGATTACGATTCATATGGATAAAAAGTGTAAAAAATATAATGCAAAATACGAAAAACAGCATGGATTAATTATTTAGAGTTTTACAACAAGAAACATCATCTTATTAGTCAATTCTTTAACACTAAAATGAGTATTAATAAGTGTAATGCAAGACGAATTACGTCAACTTTGTTAATTTAATTTAAAAAGTATAGTATTAATAGAAAAAATTTGAAGTGCTATAAACGTTTTAATAAGAAATAAAATCAACTAATTTTAAATTTGTTTTACATTTATAAATTTAAAAATTTGATATTGAATTTTTTTCTGGTAGGTAAACATCATTTCTTTATTTATGGTATTATACTTAAAGTTATATACACTAGTGAAAGAAATAACATCTCTTGTATGCAACATATACAACAAGTTAAATGCTAGCTTGCCTAAATTTGATATTGAATTTGTATTATTCATTTATTTATTTATATTACAAATAAGCATTAAATATGAAACCTATTATTAAACATATATAAAGAATCTTAAATGTACATATAAAGATTTTTTGAAAATATACTCCCAACTTGTCAAATATTCCACCAATATCACCCTAACCAATATCCAAATGGGTATTGTCCAAGATGCAAACTTTATACTGAAGACATCCAACATGTCTTCAAATGTTCTGAAGCCTCAGAAGAGACCAATCTGATCATAAACAATATCAATCAAATTCTTCATCTAGATAATAATCTTAAACCAATTTCTCACATATGGCAAGTTGTAGAACTGTCATGTGGCATGACTGATAGAATCTTCTCTACAACAGACATCATCAACTGGATCAAGACATCAACAGATCCCTAACTTAATTATATAACTCAATCTAAAAATTACAATATAACACCGCTAACACTTTATCTCTCACTGGTATTAAATAGAAATCAAACAAATTACTGAACACCACCAACCTAACCAAGCCAAAAAAAAACCATATTGTCTCTACCAGAAGCTTACACTCCAATAACACCCAAAACAAAATCATTATAGACCTATTAATAATTGTCATTAACTCTTTTATTCAATATAATTATAACTATAACAAATGCATTCAAAAATTAGTATCATCTCTTCCAAACATTATTTCTCTTAATATTGAGTAAATATTCATAGCTGCTCGGTGCCATATAATAAGATATATTGTTTTAAACTTTCTTTTCAATATTAGTTATATAGTTACTGTAGACAAGCTAACATTTAACTCATTGTACCAACATATAAGAGATGTTGTTTCTTTCACAATGTATATTTTGTTATATACAAATAAAATAAAGAAATGATGTTTACCTACAAAAAAAAAAAAGGGGATTTTTTGAAAATATATATTTAGGAAAATTTTTTTATTAAAAGTTCTATGGATTGAACTAAAGTTGATTATAGAATTATAGAGAAAAAATATAATATTTACATTAGAAAGATATATTTAGAAGGATTTTTATATAAGCCTATTGTATAAAAACCAATACTATATATTTGTATTTCATAAGTAGATTTATATTAATAATATTGCTTATTTAAAATAATAAAATTGTTATATTGATTGAAATATTTTCTTATTAATATATTATTATATAAATATCAATGATCTTCTCAAGGACGGTATGGATTCAGCAATAGGTGATGCCAAATTCTACAAAAAATACAACACCATCCTTAAAAAGGATGATTCACACTTTTAATCTTTCCAAATTTGACAAGAACAGGTTATTCGGCTGGAGTCCATAACCATAGTAAGGCCAAAATTAG